TGGGTAAGAAGGTTACTTTGCACAGAGCCAAGAACAGGCTGAGTAGCAGTCATCTACGGTTTAGATCTGAGGAAGACACTGAATTTAGTGAACAAAGTAATCTTAGATTTTAACTTTATGAGTATTGCAGGAAGGGGAATATTTTGAGGAAAGCCTTCTTACCATTCCTTACAGCTTCCTTTTTAATAGTGATTTACAAGACAGGATCATTGTCATTCGTTGATCACAGCATGATTTCTTTCTTCAACATAGTATTGCATAAAGATTTTGGCAACTGTGAATGACAGAATGATCATTCTTTTCACCATCATTAATCTTTCTAGATTCTAGAAGAAGAGTGCATATCGTTCAAAGCTCTATAGCTGTTTTATATTGGGGTAGTGGTGTGGAGGCACACTAATATAGGAAAGGAAGGGAAAGATAATGGTTGAGAAAAGTATCTTGGATGTCGTAGAAATTCAGACAAAATGGTAAATGGTAGGAAGGTTCTTCACATACATTGCAAATGCTAAGGTAAGTTTGACAAATGCAACTTAAGCGCACATGTAAATACGTATTGGTATTTTGCCTCTCAGTAGCTACCAAAACTCAGAGAATAAGGTTATGGAGTCTTTAGTTATTTAACCATTTCTCTTCTGGAGGTTCTTCATTGTCCTCTTTTGAGTGTTCATGGAAATAGGCTGATATGATTTTCCAGATGCATCTTGAATTATGGTATTAGTTCAGAGGGTATCCAAAACATTCTTTCCCTTGTTTCTTTGAGATTTTCAACAGCTTGGTAAAAGCTGCTTCCAAACACTGTCTTTGCATCAACACCATCTTACTCCACCAAATAGAAGTAGAACCCTATTTCTTTGTACTATGCTCTTGGGAACAAGTAAACAACTTCCTTTTGGCAAACTGCCAAATATTCACTATATTATGTGGATCCAGTGCTTAAAGAATTAAGCTGGAATTTCATTACATGTTTCTGATTCAGATCTTGTAGGATTTCAGAGGAAACAGGATGGCCCTGCACCAAGTTTAGTCAAAGTAAAAAAAAATGTGAGGATTGTACAGATAATCCTTTTTCAAATTATACTACCATTGCTTTCACTTCAACCTATCAGCAAGTGTGTTATAATTGTCCAAAGTTAAAGGAGATGGAGGTTGATAGTCTTACTATTGAAGTAGGTGTGGGGAGGTCAAAAGTTGGAGTAAACATCAGGTGTAAAAATATTTCCGGCGGGGAATTCTTGCAACTTCAGGAGTGGTGGCTGCTTAACTTGCAACAACTACTCTATTCCTTTCAGAGAAATATATGTGCAATGAAGAACTTTTAGATTACACATTACAAGAATCCATTAGAAAACCCAGAACCAAGGGGCACAGGCTATAGGCAGTTCCAGAGAGTCACATTGAATAAAAAGGTCTTTGCCTAGTGCCAAAAGGACCATAATGAGAACACTAGGCAAATTCCCTTGGGCAAGTTGGTCCAAAATTAAGGTACCCCTCTACCTACTGATCATCTTCCTCACTTCATTTCCCTGGAGCACTGAAGAGGATTTCAAGTGCTCTCTATGCACACACACACACACACACACACACACACATGAAAAACAGCAATTTTTCTGTTAACCTGGTATGTTGTGTCTCTTGTCATGAGTGAATATGCTCTCCAGTACAGTCCCACAATCTCTTACAGATACCTTTTCAACAGCAAGGGAGGCATTGATTACCAGGGAGAATCACATTCCATTGGCAACACTGATTTGCTGTGCAGCTGCAAGGAAGAGAAGGACATCCACATCCCATGTACATAAGCCAGTTTTGAATTTGGTGATACATAAATGCACCCATCAGTTAAACAGAAGACGTGCTAATATTTGCATGAACACCTACAGACTTGCAGTCCCTGAGATGAAGATCCCTGAATACAATGAAATGGGGTACAGCTCAGCTGTTCACCCCACATTATATGACAGATATTTCAGTGGAGCCAAGTTCTTTTCCTTGAATTCATAAAAATGGTTTTTGGGTAGCTGCTATTACATGGATGTAGACACACAGGTTTGCTGGGTGTCCTAATGCTTCTATAAGGATTCGTGTCAGATGGGAGAATTTGTAAACAAGCCTTTTATTTCAGTAAGACGCTGTGGGAACTGTGAGGGGGTGGCTGGATTTAGCATATGAAGACTAGAGGGGCTTGTGGAAGCAGATACTAGCAAATGCCTGTGGAGTGGAGTGAAGAAAGCTTAGTAGTGCTGATCTGCCTTTCCTCCTCTCATTGCACTCAAGCCACTCCACTCTGAAATGTATTGATCGGCTTGGGGTAGTGCTGAGGGGAGAGGTTGGGGAGGAGATTATTTCTGTGATGGCTTTTTTGTGAAATAATTGGACAGTGCAAAAACATGGCAGCTCCAGACACCTCGGGGACATTTGAGATTATAGGAAATAGGGAGTGAAAGTAGATTCTTTGTTATTTTAAGGCTACAATACATTTCTCTTCCTTAAAGGGAAAGGTGCGAAATGTCTTGGCAGAAGTGGTGAAAAATATTTTGACACTGCTGAAGATGATTGCAAACAATATGAAGCAGCAAAAAGTGCAGCTAACATTAGGAGGCATGCAAGATGACAAAAATACCTCAATTTGCTGCATAATTTTTCAATTAAATCCTAGCATTAAGTGAATTCACTTGGAGGGGAATGTTTAGAATTTATGATATATTGACAGCTGGAAGTTTGTGAGATACATAAGAAAGTATATATACATTTGATGCAAATACTTTTTTGTTGTTTGGAGAAATGAGGGAAACAAAATGAGAATTTTCATAGCCGAGACTGAAATGTTATCCTTGAGGAAGTCTTGCAACAAGAGACTCTGTGCCACTGAGCTTAGTAGGAACTCTCCTTAAGCTGCAAAGGTCTGAGCTGCACAACATTTAATTTCTATGACTAAAAATAAGTCAACTCCCATTTCTTCATATGGAACATAAATGCATTTGAACACAATTTGAATAATTAATTCCACATCAACAGTTCCAATTTCAAAATAAATTGAAATTAAGCTGCTGGAGCAAAAAAGAAGGCCAAATATCACTTTTAGAGCAGTACTGAGATCCTAGTTATGATCTTTGGTCCAGAGAGCCAGGAACAAACAGCACAATAGCTATAGAAATCAAAGCTAGCGTTGCAACACACGCACAGCATCTGACAAGCCTGGTTTTGCCAATCGTTCATGACACTGTGCAGCATCAATGTGAACACATTAGCCATGCACAGAAGATGCCAGTCAGTGTCTGACAAGCTGTTATCTGGCCTGGTATGCATGCATGCAAGCATACACACACATGCACACACCACTCAGCAGGCTGGTTATGTGTACCGCTTTACCAAATATAGTCCTCTGTGTGATCAGGCATCCATTCCAAGTCTGGTTTAACCATAAAAAGCTGCAAAATGGAAGTGCTAGGGCATAGAAATTGCTCATCAGCAGGCATGATCAAGCATACAGGTCACCTAGTCACAGTCTTCCCCACTATAATGAGGAGCAGTTTATTTCAATTTAAATAACAATCATTTAATTTGCATCAAACATATCAGTTAGCATTTTAGAGTTTTGAAAAATTGTGTCCTCATCCTCTTTTTGGGGATAAATTTCCCCTCATTTGACATTGCATAAGTGGCCACAATGCTCAGTCAGGTTGCCAGAAATAGAGCATAACACCTTCCTATCTGCTCACGCTACCAATTGAAGGCCTATGCAAAGAATCCAGAAGCATTGCAGGGTTCAAATTTCCTGGGAAACCTTGTCTCCAAGTAGATGATTTTAGCAACTCTGCTTAAAAGACATCTGTACTGTTATCACAGTAGGAGGGAAGAACATACTGCAAGGTCCAGGCGTGTGCATAATGAAGAACTGAAACTTCAACAGCAACTCATGGCAAGTGGCAGTGTGATCTTCCTGGAAACTTGGTAGAAGAGAGCAATGAAAGGCAAACGGGGTAGCCAAGTTCTAGCCTAAGAAAATGAGTTCATGCCCCGCACAAGGCAAAGTCTCCTTTTGTGGCTTTTTCCCAGCAGAAATGGAAAAGAAATTGGAAAAGAGAGGCACCCTAGGGTGACCATGTGCCCATTTGGACTGCCCTTTGTTTCAAGTGCTGCTCTGTCAATTCTGGTTTGCAGATAAAAGAACCACACAAATTGGCGTGCATTGACAGTTAGCATCTCTAAAGCAGATCGAACAGGCAGGCTCTTAAGTCAGCTGGTTAGTCCTCTACATTATGGTGAGATATATGCATTTCTGTTTGAATTATACTAATTATTTCTAAATTTGCTTTTACACATAGAAATTAGCGTACATGAATGGTTATATATTTTTTTCTTCTTTAGCAATTCACACATGACTGCCCTAAAAGGCAGGTGAATCAGATCCTAGGCCTCCCAACACAGAAAGCAACAATGCCACAAGCATCACCAAAAGGAAGATCCATTATATAGCCTTCATAATCTCCCAAGAACCAAGCCCATAGCACACACACTTGTCCTCCATTCTGCTTGTTTTTGGACTGCATAACAGGCCAATGTGAAATCATTGCTCAGTGGGATAGTGCAGGCTTAGCATACAAGGTGTCCAAGACTTAATCCTGGCTACAGCCTCCAATGGCAAAGGTTTAAAAGGGCTGTGAATGCTGTGGAAGGTATGAAGTGCTAGTCCATCACTGTGACATGGAACAAGAACCAAAAATATGGTCCAGAGGGCCGCAAGGACAACTGACAAAAAAATCACTTCCCTTACCACCTTCTGCCAGCAGGATCCTCCATTGGATTAGAATCATTTCTATGAACTGGAGCTCCAAGCCTTTGACTCTGATATGCTCGCTCACAATGATCACTTATTTTGCTGATACAATGTTATGTAGTTGTTAGGAGCTGGACCTGATGAACACAGGCTCAGCATAGACAATATTCTTTTCCTGGCAGCTCAGATAAACACACTGAAGCACTTTTCTTCTCTCTAGCACAGTGTTGTGGTCCAGTGGTGAAAACAGTTGTGAGAGTGAGTCTGTCCTGCCAATAAACAGCCCAAGCTTCCCTCTGAGAGGTGGAGATCCCAAGAAGACTAACCTGGTAAGAAGTTCCACTACAATCAATAGGATTCACTTACAACAAAATAACTGTAGGATTAAGGTATTAAGCCTTTTCAACACCATGACATCCCTGCATTATTTAAGAAACCCTCTGAAAATACTTGCCCATTGTTCCGAAGTTGGCCACCATGCAGACATCACAATTGTAAATGGAGAAGTGCTGTTGCTGGCCAGAAGTTCAGCATTCAGTTTCTTCCTGGTAATTCCACTCCCATCTCCCTCACCTCCCACCTCTTCAGATCCCAGGAAAACAGGTACATACATACAGCTCTTCGCATTGCATGTGATGGAATGCAGAGAGAGAGAGAGAGAACTTTCTCCAACCAGAACTCTTTTCAAAACTATGCGAAGAAGGCAGACTTATACTGAGTGCAGCTATGTTTTTTCCCATTCTGATATTTCAAAGGCTGCTGTGCATAGCTCTTCTGCAGATCAGTCTCCACCACTCGGAGGATGCTTTGGGTGTGAGGTACAATTTCCAGCACCAGAACCAGTATTCTACCTCTGTATTGTCTTCATCGCTGCTGAAGTCAGGACTGCTGCAATAATGCAGACATCAGGATCTGAACTCTGGGAAACAAAAAGAAATATAACTAGTTTTGAGGATTATGTGGGACATTGTATGTTGGACTACGCCAGTCTTCCTGTACCTGGTGACCTCCAGCTGTGTCGGAGGTTTATGGAAATTGTGGTGCAAGACATCTGGAGGACACAAAGTTTGAGAAGGTGGAACTACATGCTGACCTCATTTTAGTAGTCTAAGTATAGAATAAGTATCCCGGCCACTCAAACCCAAAGTATAACCCTATGCCCATTTACTTGGAATAGAGTAAATTAAGTGAAAATAAACTTGGGTGGATTTATAAATGAAATTGTGTAAACAATCACAGAACTGGGCTGTAGAAAGAGAACCTTTAGGCCGCACGCTCTGTTCTTGCACGTCCAGCCCACCCCTCCCACCACTGGGTGATCAGGCATCCTCCCTATTACCGACAGTGTTCCCTTGGACCAGGTTCCTTATTTGAAAAGCAGCCAAGCCCAAATCAAGTTTAAAGCTAAAGGATCATAAGAAACCACAAAGAGAGCGAGGCGAGGCCTTGAAGCTGCCCATCTACAATTACGAGCTGGAAAGCAGAGAGGAACACAGCTGGTCACATTCTTCCTTGCTATAGTGAGGACTGTATTGCCATTTAAACTATAGCCAATTATTTCTGTATTTACATACATACATATATTTTAGCATACATATACATCCATATTGGCATACAAATTTTGAGCAAACTCGTGTCCTCTTTCTTGTAGATTCATGTCCTCTTTTTTGACCATCCTAACCACCTTTGTAATATGACTGCAGATGGCTAATAATTTACAAATATAATGGTTCTGGACACCTGTGGGTTTCTGTGAAGGGTAATGATGATTTTAACAGAGAATCCTTTAAAATCTGCATATTTAAAAAGTAAAGCCTTTTGCATTACAATACCAAACCAAACCAACTTTGTTTTATATTTAAAAAACAATATAAAAAACAATATTTATATTTATTTATATATTTAGCATGAATTTGAAGCAAATTACACTTTCCAGAAAAATTTACAGCAAGATTCACTTTGTGGATTATTATTAGCTAAATTAATTTTATTTATGAAGAATGTTTTGTTTTCTAAACATTGCCTTTAAATAATTTAATTTCAATTTAATTTAATAAAACTTTTCTATCCCATCTTTCACTAAACTTCTCAAGACAGCTTACAAAAGATAAACAACAATAAAAATACAGTCTATAATACAATAGATAATAATAAATAGATTATGAGAAATACAATTAGTAATAGAATACCACCAAGTTAAACTGATAATAAGCAAAGATTAATAAATCATATTCATAAGAAAAAATAAGCAAATACATAAAATAATTAAAATAAATAAAATGCAACTGTTAACTTAAGCATCTAAAATCCCTAATTCTTAAATAAAAAGGCTTTCACCTTGCGCTGAAAAGAATATAAGCTTAGCACAAGGCGAACCTCTCTGGGGAGGTTCCCAGAGAGGCGCCACCACAGAAAGGGCCCTCCTCTGGGTAGATATCCTCTTTACCTCCTTCAAGGAGGGTTCCTGGAGCACGGCCTCCTCTGCAGATCTTAAAGGGCGTGAGGGCATATACAGAAGAAAACGTTCCATCAGGTATCCTGGACCCAAGATATTTAGGGTTTTATAGATTAATACCAGCACCTTGAATTGGGCCAGGACTTCAATTGGGAGCCAAAGTATCTGGTAGAGGACTGGCGTTAAATGAGAATAACCACCAGTCCCCATCAGCAACCTGGCAGCTCTATTTGTACCAATTGAAGTATCCAGACCATTTTCAGGGGCAGCCCCATGTAGAGCACATTACAATACTCCAATCGGGAAGTTCCCAGGGCATGTGTCACCATTACTAGGCAGTGCTCATCCAGGTAAGGATGCAGCTGATGAACCAGCCGAAGCTGGAGGAAAGCACTCCTTGCCACCATCGTCACCTGGGCTCCAGGGACAGCTCTGGGTCAAGGAGCACTCCTAGGCTGTGGACCATGTTTTTTAGAGGGAGTGCAACCCCGTCCAGGACAGTATCAAAATCACTTACCCGAAAGCCCCAAAAGGAACTCCGTCTTATCTGGATTGAAGCTCAGTTTATTGGCCCTCATCCAGCCCATTACCTCAGCCAGGCACTAGTTCAGGACAGCCACTGCCTGACCTGGAGTAGATGTAAACAAGAGGTAGAGCTGGGTGTCATCAGCGTACTGATGGCTCCGCAGCCCAAATCTCCTGATGACCTCTCCCAGAAGTTTCATGTAGATGTTAAAGAGCATGGGGGACAAAATAGAGCTGCCATGGCACAGAACTATTGTTCCCCAGCACCATTTTCTGGAATCAGCTGGCCGGCAATAAGAGGGCTTCACTGCAGCCCCTCCCCTGCAATCGCCGCAATAATTGCAGTTTAGTGTCACAGAAGTAGATAGATTTTTCTGTAGCTGAAGTCAGAATATGTACAAATGTGCTTCATGCATTTCTGTTCACAAAAGCCATCACCCTTTTTCTGCTCCATTCTTTTGCATCTTATTGTGCTGGAAGGCCAGGGTGATTACTGTAGTAAAAAAAGGATGGCATTATACAATAAAGGAGTGCAATGCGATCAGAACAAGGAACCTTTGTATGATTTAAAAACAATATTGAGCAATGCTTCCCCATACCTAAGCATTGATTAGGACATCCCAAGACTGATTTCATCACCTCTTTATTGTGCAGTGCAAGAGATAAATGAATCATGAACATGCTTCTCTGGAATTTGTGATCTCATTTTATTTATTTCTTATATTGTTTTCGAGAACAACATCTTTGAAGTTGCTGTCAAGAAAATTGCTGTCTGGTTCCCTACAAATCACAATAATTTATTTTTTAAAATTAAATACAAGGACATGGAATTATCTAGGGACTTAAAAGGGGTCATTTTCCTGTTGTTGCAATGCCCTATGTCTACAAGTGATGTCTGACATTAATAGCAAAATGTAGCCAATAATATTAAAATATTTCATAATGGAATTGTTTATATTTATCTTTCTTAATCAATTATATCCTACATGCTACTCTACTGATACTAAGCATCAAGAAAAAGGCAATTTTTTGGCATTTACATGCCAACATGTTCAATTTGCAGACTCATTACAAAAATAAACTTTAGTCCTGGTACAAGAATACATTAGTCCCTCTCAGTTCTATCACTCACACAAACTCATGCTGAGCAGAAGATTTCAGCCCTCCACAGAAGGATTCTGACTAATAATATCGTGACATATCTGTTACCAATCCCTTTCACAGCTACCATTCCAAGTATTTCTCAGGACATTGTTATGAGCCACTTCACACATGTTCCTGATCTACAGTAATGGCAACAAGCCATGGATCCACTATGCAGTTCCACTATGATGCAGAAAACTTCTACAGATGACAGGTCCACTACAAAACCATACAAAGGGTAGGCAATTTCCTTGGTGGGGACCTTCTCATTCAATGTATGTCTACTAAACTGGCTTTATTTAACTATACCAGTCTGTCCAATGGCATTGTTCTCTAAGCAGCTCAGAACTTAAAATGATATAATACAGTATCAGAGTAACAGTTTGCACCATAAATATTTCCAGCAGACCAAAGATTAAAGGCAGATAACAAATAAATGCTCAAAATGTAAACAGTGGTCAGAACACAAATCACATTTTTCTTACAACCAGAGATTTTAAAAAGCCTTTGGGTAATCAAAAATGCCTTCCTCTGGTTCCAAAATTACCGTAAAGGCAAGCATCTTTGGGGCGAGCCTTGGGGTTCCATCACCAAGAAGGCCCTTTGCCTGGTAGCCACATGCTTCATTTTGGTTGGTGGGGCACCTGGCACAGGACCTTTAAGAAGGATCTGAATTCAGAAAGAACAGAATTTGGGACACAATCCTATTATGCGTGCTTAGACAGAAAAAAAAGTCCTGCATCTCCAGCATAGTTGACTGGGGGATGCTGGGAGTTGTAGGACTTTTTTCAGTCTATGTATGCATAGGATTATATCCTAAAACCATCAACTGAGTTAGAGTTAAAGCCAGCACTTTCAATTGGAACCAGAAATGAACTGGGAAACATTGATAAAACATACGGATGTTACAATCAAATCACCAATTCCCAGTTAATAATCATCCACCCTTATTTTGGACCAATTGATGTTCTGAGACATTACATGTTGTAATAACTTAAATAGGAATCTATGAGAGAATAGATTTTTAATATAGACATATATCTCAAGACTCATGTAAATCATGTTAGTCATTTTCAATTTATCTTAGACTGCTGCGTAAAATGAGCAAGGGATTTATTCCCAAAATGTTGATTTTTAAAACTGTATTATGTTCTGTTCAAAAAGCATTATGCATTTATTCATTTTTATTAGTACAGTGTACACTGTGTAAGGATATACAAAATTGTTCCAATATTCCTGGTTTCAGAAGCCAAAAATGAAGAGAGAGAGAGAGAGAAAATGCAATGTTTAAGAATTATTTCTAACTCACAGAATCCAGAGAATGGTGTGAGGAATGCTAAACTAGTAGGAAGATAATCAATCACAGAGATTCTTCGGAAAGGAGCTGCTGCTGCTCCCCTGAGTTTAGGCAGAAAGAGGCAGCTGCCTCAGGCAGAGCATGCTGGAGGACAGAAAGTGGCGAGGAGGGGCTGGAGGGCAGGGCTGTGCATTGCCACCTCACTTGCCCTGCAGTAGGATTCATCTGCCAGACTGGTTGGATTCTCTGTGAAAAGTGGAGGCCCAGGGGACATCCTGTCATTTGCCCTAGGCCACAGTATGTCCCAGGCTAATACTGTCTGAGGCTGGAAATAGCCTATTCTGCCGCTTCCTCTCCCACCAGTATTGATTTGGCATCCAGCGTTGGCATCCAAATCAGGGTTGGCACCCAGGGCTGGCACTTTGTGGGCTATTTCTATCAGTGTGGAGAACTCCAGTTGAGCAACTCACTCTCATGTCTGACTCAAGTCCCATCAGCGTCTCAACTCAGATTTCACTCTGAAGCAACGAGCAAGTGACTCAGCTCAAGATTTCAGCTGTTTTTCCTCCAAGTCACTCCAACTCACAGCTGATTTGTGGCAGGATATCCCAGGGCGATCTTGGTGGAAGCCATTTGCAACAGGCTGGAAGGCCATCATGAATGCAGCAGAGGCAGTATTACAGGGGAACACAAGGCTTCCAATCATCTTTTTGGCACACGGGTGGTCTACACTTCTTCCACCCCCACACACACCCCACCACCATCTTCCTGGTTTCCATTAAACTTGGCTCTTGAGACTTGAGAAGAAACTTGAGACTCAACTCGAAAATTTCTTGGAATGACTTGAGACTTGACTTGGACTTGAAAGTAAAGATTTGAGACTTGACTTGACACTTGGAGTAAAGGATTTGAACATATCACTTATTTCTACATGATCCAGGGCTTCTAATGTTACCTTCATAGCACAGAAAAAAATCCATGTTACCATGTCAGAGATGAGTTTCCTCAAAAGTTCTTATTTGTCCTTGTGGTTAAGGTGTTTTAAAGATTGTAATGCATGCCGTACTACACTGTAATTTCTATCAGGATATCAGGACAGAATTGATTAAGCCTTTAAATCATCCAGAGAGAGACATTTTTAAAAATGTATCTTACTGTTTTGCCAACATCATCCCTGCAGGTACTGAAAATGTTGCTAAGTTGTTTCTCTGTGCAGTTTTTCATTTATCTGACATGGATGGTATGCTGTTGTTTATATCTTTCTATAAATATTCGTATAGCTTGCATTCTCTTGTCATAAACAATGACAATTTTCCAATTATAGGAGAATATTGCCAATAATTCCATTCACTATGAATAGATACGGCATTTCAGATTATATATGAGATAGTTCTTTAATTGGTTTAGCTATGTCTGAGTTCTATGTGTAAATCATGTTTTTCAGTGGTATGTGATCATTACAGATTTGGCAACTTGATAGCCCTGGAGTATCCAGTAAGATCATAATTATGTCATCATATCAAAATTCCCTCATGTATTCTTCTTTATGTCTACATCCCTGTTTAATTTTAATGTGAGTGTTTTTCAGTAATAGAATTCTGTATTTGTCAATGTTTTGTTCTTTCTTTCACAGCTTATTGTTTATGATTACTGCAGAGTCTTTGCGCTAAAACGATGGAGTGTGCTGGTGATGGAAAACCTACTCTAATCCCACTGGGGCTGGACTACAAATTCAATAATCCTTTCCAGATGTGTCATACAACAAAACCTGTCTTCCCACACAGAATACAGCCAATAGTCATGGTAGCGTATTTATTTATACACGCGCGTGCGTGCACACACACACGCACACGCACACACTTATAAGCTGCCTATAACAGCTGAGGTCTTCCTAGGTGGCTTACAATACATTAAATGCATTAATACATAATACAACACATTAAAAACCCATAAAACACTAACAAATTAAAAGATCAATGGTAACAATATAAAAAAGGGCCACAGCATTCGTGGGCTAAGTATTAAAAATATTCTAAAAAGGTATGTCTTCGCCTGGCACTGAAAAGAAAATAAAGACAGTGCCAGGAAAATTTCCCTAGGGAAGGAGTTCCAAAGACGGGGAGCAGCAGTGTAAAAGGCCCTTTGCCTGGTTGCCACCCCTCTCATCTCCCTGAGGGGTGGCTCTTGTAGAAGGGCCTCCTCAGCTGATCTGAGGGAGCAGGTAGGTATATATGGGTGTAAACAGTCCTTCAGATAGGCAGGCTTCAAGCCCTGATACATGCACCTTGAATTGGGCCTGGGCCATAACCAGTAACCAGTGAAGTTCTTTCAGAACTGGTGCTATATGGGCTGCTCTTGAAGTACCAGTCACCAACCAAGCGGCCCAATTCTGCACCAGTTGCAATTGCAGGACCATCTTCAATGGCAGCCCCATGCATTACAATAATCTATTTTGGAAGTTACCAGAACATGGGTTACTGTCTTTACACTGTCTACATAGGGACAGAACTGGAAATTCCTTCACAGCTGGAAAAAGGCATTCCTAGGCACTGAGTCCACGTGATACTCCAGGGACAGACTGGGGTCTAGGAGAACCCACAGACTGCAGACCCTGTCCTTTAGGGAGAGTGTGACCCCATCCAGGACAGGGAAATGCCCTCCTAACCTACCAATAATACCTCTGTCTTACCAGGATTAAACCTCAGTTTATTGACTCTCATCCAGTCTATTATCGAGCCCAGGCCCCAGCTCAGGAGAGCAACAGCCTCACCTGGATTAGATGAGAAAGAGAGGTAGAGCTGAGTGTCACCAGCATATATTCCTGACTCCTCAGCCCAACTCTCCTAGCAGTTTCATGTAGATGTTAAACAGCATGGGGGACAGTACAGAGCCCTGCAGAACCCCATGATGCAACTGCCATGGGGCAGAGCAACTGTCCCCCAGCACCACCTTCTGGACTCAATCAGCCAGGTAGGAGTGGAACTGCCACAATGCAGTACCTCCCACTCTCAACCTGGCCAGCCTGTCCAGAAAGACACCAGGGTCAATGATGTCAAAAGCTGCTGAGTGGTCAAGAAGAACCAACAGGATCACACTCCCCCTGTCCCTCTCCCAATACAGGTCATAGTACTGGATGACCAAGGCCATCTCCATCCCATCTCCAGGCCTAAAACCTGATTGGAATGGATCCAGATAACCCATATCCTCCAAGAGTGCCTGAAGCTGCTGAGCCACCACCCGCTCCAACATCTTGCCCAAAAATGGAAGACTGGCGATGGGATAGTAGTTATCCAGTATCCCAGGTATGATACTGAGATGCCAAACCAACACATTTGGATGGCGCCATGTTGAAGAGTGGTGTAGACCCATGGAGAACCCTAACTGAAAGTGAGCCACACTAAAAAGAAATAGAGGACATGATGCTTCACCACACACACAAGGTTATGGTGTTTCATCATGCCATTATCCTGCCCCAATCACAGAATTTTACTGGGGGTTCAGATACCATTGCCTTCCACTAGTAAGCCTCCCATATTTTCCCACTCCCTTTCTTACAATGAAAAATGTGATTAAAAAAATATGGAATATTAGCATAGTGCCTCTGGCTTGTTGACACTAGGGCCCTCCATCTGGAATCACTCTTGCCTGGGAGAAGGTGCTTGCACTGGTTCACTACAAATTTCCCCACTCCAGGTGTGGCACTTCCAAATTCCAGTACACTTAGGACAAAATGACAGACCAACAAGGCAGTCTCTTTGGGAGCCCTAATGCTGTAGTGGATTGCACTGTATTCAAGGAGTTGTGAGGGAAAAAATACATGCATAAGAGCTGAGATTGTCCTCATTATACAGCTGCTGTGTAAGAGGAATATACCATGCAATTGGTCCAGGGGTACCATCACTAGCAAGGTATCTCTTGAACATGATGACTCTTGATGAGTTTTGGTCTGCATACCATTTCAGCACTCATCAACACAGGCCCCAGCATTAAATTTGTGGAAAGGTTGGCTCATTCATAAAAAGCTATATTTTGGGAGAAATGTCATGCTATGCTTTCAGGTTTTACTTTCAAACACTAAGACTATATCCTGCACTGAAATATCCAACTACAGAAATATAAATACATTTAGTGCTCTCTGGTTCATGTTTGTGTAACAGGATGTCAGCACTAATTCATCAAGACATTCTCCTGCTTTCATCCCATTGAAATGATGGAGATGGGTATGTTTGTGCAGTTCCATATGTTGAAGGGGGCTTAGCAGGGAATATCCATGTTGATTGTGCCCATAAATTCTAACTATAGTAATATTCTCTCAACCTATAGTAAGTTTTATTTTTATTTAATACTTATGTGATACAAGACAGTTACCAGTCACAGAAATAGTATAACCAGAATGTTTGCATTCTGTAGACCAGTGCATAGCTTACATGCCCATATTTCAGTGGTATTTAAAAGAGCCACAGTTGATATATCTTGTGTTCATCTGTTTCATTTCCATTGTCCTTTCCACTTCACTGTTCTTTGTTGCGAGTCACATAAGCAGAATTTGACTCTTTTGAAGCTAACAAAATGAATATCTAGAAAGGAGAATTTAGCATAGCATCAGGCATACTCTCTATAATTTTCAGCAGCCAGTGAAAACCTTTAAATTTGCCCAGTATTTTAATAGTTAGCTTTTTAACTTTAGTTTTTAATATTGCATTTTATCCTGTACCATATCCTGCTATACCTCTGTGCTGATTCATTTGCAATTGCTGTGGTCTTGTTGCTTTGTGTCTTTCTTGTTTTTGTTGTTTTTAACTTTTTTGACCATCCAGAGAGCTTCAGCTTGGTCAGTATAAATACATCTCTTACCCTATTCAATCCTGGCTAAGCCATACTCTGTCATTACTGTGCCCACTACCCTGCAAGTTCATTCCCTTTCCTGCCCATCCCAAATAAATAAGGTTTTTGCTAATATTGTTTAGCTCATGAGAGGAAATCGAGGAAGGTGTGCTACAACATATACGAAATTGGAGTTAATTTTCCATGCAAGTCTTCCCCCTCTGCTCTCCCCCCTATTTATTAATATCATGTTTTCTACAGTGGATAGAAAAAGCAAAATGTTTTAGAAAACTGAATTTCTAAACCATGCTAATGTTCACCATGTGCAGGCTTTTTAGATACAGTCAGTCCAGAAAAGAGTAACTTATGTGAAACCAATGCATTTTGAATCTTTCACAGTAGAATTATTTTGCCTGGAGAAAGCATACATTTTGTATATGATACACAATACACTAAAGGACTGGACTATCTTTTCTTATTTTATTTGCAGCAGTTCCTATATCTTGCAGAACTCATCAACTATATGCTTCTTGCTCAGTTCATATACGATGCAGAACATCCTATACAGATGCCTGGAATTATATTAAAGATATCTACTCTTCAAACATGACTCAAGATTCCAAGAGAAGAACACCAGAAAAGTAATTATGTAACTAAATTATGTTAATTAACTAAATTGTGTTAATTTTGCTATTTTAATTTTTAATTTACATAATTATTTCCAAATTATTTACTAGAATTGAGTAGAATCTCTCTCTCTCTTTCCCTCTCTCTCTATACAGTGAGAGGTTTGCTAAGAAAGTAGCATCCCTTTTTGCTTAAGTTATTCTTCTTTAAATTGACTGCTGTACTCCTACGAGTGGCATGAGAGCTGTTATTTTCCTCCATGATACCTTCCTTGGAACACCAGTGTATCATAACGTGGTGCTATTTTTTTCATAATTCCATGGGAACTGTGGCAACCACTACTGGTCAAGCACTTCACTTTTGTGACTTGAAAATGAGAGAGCAACACTGAGAAACCCTTGTGTATATTGATAATATTTATCACCTGAGAAAATGTCAGTCAGATTGGGGAGTCCCACACAGCTACAACTGGCACGGTTGTAATCCTCATATACGCTGCAGCCACGTAGGGAATCATGACAGAAGAACAGTTTCTGTACCTGTGGAAGGAGATAAACAGAAATCCACACAAGGAATACAACCAATGTTAAATATATCTAAATTCCCATGTCTTTCAATGGTAGAATTAAGCACCTAAGTCAAACCTTTCCAAACAGAATTCCAACTAGAACTTAAAAAATGCTTAACCTTTGCTGGATCATGCCCCAAACTTTTAAAGCTCCTATCCAAGGGATGAGAGTGGCCCCAAATCAATTATGTTCTGAACCAACCTTACGCCATGTGAATATACCTTAATGTGGGCAGATAAGCAAATTATGAGGAAAAACAGTAGGATATAAATATAGTACAAAGCCTGAGCTGGAAAATACTTTACGACAAGCTAGAGAGCAATCCTATGCATGTGAAGTCATTTGAAAAGTCTTATAATTCCCAAGATGCCCCAGTGAGGCATGACCGGCTAGGGCATGCTGCAAATTGTAGGTCCTTTTTTGGTCTTGGCATTTACAGGATTGTGCTTCAAGTGAGCAAGCAACCAAAGTGGCCCCAATATGATATTGTACAATGAGGATTATAGCAAGGGAATCATGCAGAAAGCAGATAAATTCAGCAAAAGGGTAGAAAAACCTCCTTCCCACCCCCTTCTCCACTTCTGTAGTCCTGTTTGCTCATATACATTTGAGCTTCTCACGTTTACTATCTTCATTCCTTAGTGTCAAGGATTACCATAAAAACAGAAGCTTTCCCCTGCATAATCATCTTTTTCTAACTGCCTGATGCTTTTAGCATTGCTATAATCCAGTGTGTGTGTGTGTGTTTTTTTATCTGTGAAATATTATACAATTGCATCATTCAGTGACCATTACAGAAAAGAGCACTGAAAAGATATTTTGGAACCTGCTACAGGAGAGGAGACTTTATGCATAAACAAGGCTGGTGGGGGGAAGTGTTTCTAAGCATTCAGCCAAGTTATAAATAAAGGGTGTCACCCTTCTCTCACTAAAGCGAGGGAGGAACCCTCCTGCAGATCTAAGTGGAAACAGGCTTGAGGCTCATAGCCTCATCTATCTTTAATACAAATTTGTTCGACGGCAGTGACATCCATTTTATCATCTGCTCAGTGGTGATTGGTTGTTTTTGAACCTCTGGTCAGATTAGGAAGTTTGACAGATGGCACTTTCAATTTAAATGGATTTATATGCCATTAAAAGAAATAGTTCTGCAGGCTAAGAAGGGTATTGACTGTGAAAAGTCGTGGTACTGTAGATCATTTCCACTGAGAATTTTGTCAGGATTCTTCCAATTAGTCCATCGATACAATGCCCTTATAAACATGATACTTTATTTTTCTCCAAGGTTTTGTCACAAAAGGACTGTTTGCTGTGCCTACAAAAGGAACAAAGCTTTTCCAAAGCACTAATTCTGCAGAACAGCAGTTATAATTAATGACCTGCGTTATAATTGACGAAGAGGCAAGAACCCAAGTGGCACAAATGATATTGCTTTTGCATGAAGCTGCTCAACTTGATATTTACTTATTCATACATTAATTAGTATTAACTAGTTACTAGTGGAGGTTTTTGCCTTCACTAAACTTGAAGCCTCAAAATTGGTAGCAATTTTGGACTGTCCATAAAATTATACGTTCAGTAGGGGAACCGTAGGCAAGTGTGGGTGACTTGGGAAGAATGAGGTATTAATTCAAATAAGGCTGCTAGCAAATCAGACCCAGGGCAGACTTAACAGTGACTTTGTGCAAACCATGGTTTGTATCTCGGGATCCAGTCTTCAGAATGTGCAGTCCCTTCCCTCAGAAAATCAGGCCCAGAAGTCAAATTGGACTGTTCTGGGGTCCCAACCTTGCCCTCCAGTATTTCCCAGGGTGCCAGATCAGCTTCTCCTCATCCCATACCCTTTGCTCCAATCACCAACCATTTGATCATTTCTCAGCTCTTATGCAGTTTCTTCCTCATTCCAGAAGGTTTAAATGACTTAGTTAATGATGGCAAGAGCTTTAAGCAATAATATGCTGATATCTTTTGTATTTTTGCCCTAACCCCCTTTGCCTTTGACTCTACCAACCGGTACAATGTGGCCCCCAAGAGCTGCTGCGATATTGAATTTGCGATCAGGCTGAAAGAGGTTACACACCCCTGTTTATAAACTATATATTACCATCATTGATTTAAGTGACTTTGCAGACCATGTTAACAAAAGAATCTGGCTTGCTTAAAATATGGTTTACATCACACTGTGCACAATCAATGCTGGGAAGGAAAGGAGTAGGTAATCACAGCAGAAAGTGGAAGATATTCATGAGGCTGCCTCTTCATTAGCCACCATTAATGGGGAATTGGTCTTACTTCTACTCTAGTCCAAGGCAGTAGTGGATAGAGTCACCAGTTACAAGAACTTTAATGTGTAGCATACTTTATGAATGGTTTCCATGTAAGCTGATGTGACTGAATAAAACAAGCTGTATCCAAAGCTGTACTATCTCAGTCAATCAGATTCAAGCAGCACATAACACAATAACCGGAGCAGAGTTCCAAAGAAAAGTAAAATTCCAAAAGAGGCTCCTGTGAGGAATGACAGAGCTACAGAGATGGCATATCTGAAGGCCACTTCAGTACTTAAGTATTCTCAGAATTTCCAAAAATGCTCATGTCAATTTGCAAATGTACAAGGAGGCAGTAGAGAAACAAGTAGCTAACATACCTGAACTGGAGGAAACTACACCTATGGGCAGCTCAGAGATTCCATAGCAACAGACCAGCTCGTGACTGGCATTGCAGACCCAAAGTTTCACAAAAGATCTTTAGAATCTCAATTTAGATGAAGCAGACAGAACACAGCAGGCCTGCACATTGCCTGCATCAACCTAAAAGGGATGTCTGAACTATTCAGGGCATGCATCAAAGATTATGGATATCTGGATGCTTAAAATATAAACACAGAACAAAAGGATGGTGTATTTCACTAGTTTCAGATGAGTTTGGATATTGAGCAGAGGATGAAATATGTGGTTCGTGCCAAATATATAGACTAGGGGCAATGGGTTAGGGTTAGAGCCCATGGGAGGAAATGATGACAGGTTGATCTGAGCCAGTACCTTTATATACTCTGGTGATTATTAGTCGTAAATCAATATTCTAACTATTTAAAAAAATATCACAGAAAATTGGATAGGATATGCTTTTGTGAACTTAAAATCTGTTGTTTTTTAAAGCATGGTATACTGCCTTGCTTGACATTTGAGCATTGTCCCCAATTTGTTAGACACAAATTCAAAAGATTCACTAGGGACTATTATTTTCAGCATGTCATATTATCTCCATCATCTGCAGTCAATTATGGAGTCAGAATCATCAAAACTGCCCATAGGCTGTTTTAGGGTTGTGGGTGGTTTATTAAACAACAACAACCCACCCTGTCTGGATCTGGATGACACAACAATCTGTAAGTTGGCTGTTTGGCTCTTAGAGAGGCTGTTCTTAGAGAGGCTGTTCTGTTCTGGCAGCCTGAAACTGTAACACTGGAATGCCTACAGCTTATTCTTGTCCTTGTGGCCAGATTGCCCAGATGTCAAGACCACTTCCTCTTAATGCACAGGAGCATTTCTTGGGAATCTTTCTGGGGAATTAGATCCAAGACTGAATCCTCTTGCTGAGCTCTTAACTCTGGAGCCTCCTCAGATGGCAAGGGATAGGGATACTCCAATGCTGAAAGTGCAGCTGGCAGGGCTTTTGAAGTGCAGTGGATCCATGAATTCCACTGCCCCACCCCCAGCATCGCTGCACTATGGATTACTCTGCTATGCTTTTAATATGCCAGAGGACGGAAAGTATAGGACAACAAAGCCTCTAGACAGTATGCTGAGAAGGACCAAAGAGCAAAGCCTACATTAGCCTATACAAACCATCATCAGAACAGACTACAATGTCAGTGCTGCAGCATCAACCAAGGAAGGCACTGAGAAGCAAACATCAATGGAGTGTCACCAACTAATTGAAAAGGTTAAACATACATGCTTTGTTTCTATACTTTAGTGGATTTCCCGATAATATGTCAGATATGTAAATCTATTTGCACATATCGTTAAGAGATATTCAGAAATTAAGAACATCTGAAAAACAGTGTATGTTACCTCAGACCTTGACAACAGAGCTTGATGAAGGAAAGGCTGGTTTAGAGCACACAGTTCATCAATATGAATGAAGCTGAAGATGACATAGGAAAAGTCTTTCTGTACATAGTTGAGAAATCATTGATAACAAATTCTCAGTACTCTTAGAAAAAGAAAGTTCTCAAGATTCCTTGGGTGAAGTTATGCTAAACATGTTAGTTATACCAACTGCTTTCAGATCTTCGGCTCTGGCTTTGAGAACTCCTGGAAGAAGGAAATTCAGGAGCTTCAAAGCACCTACCAAAACACCTACCTGTATTATGCATATTTTTCCACTTTTTCTAATACTAATTGCAAACACCATATAAGTCACCAACAATATTAGTGGGGTCAAAGAAACATCATAGAAATAGCTGTACTCACAACTTCTTGCACAGCACGTCTACCCTGATGTAAACCTTATTACTAGGGTTACTCCCAGGTAAATGAGAATCTTATTCCAGCCTTAAGAAAGCGAAGATGCTGATATATGAACATCATATATTCAGTTCCATAATTCATCTTAATTTATCATAATAAGAAATGCTTTTCACAGGCCTAGTCAGAGCAACACTATTAGTACCCATTTGCTTTCTAGTTTCATACTTAATGGTTTGTGGGATGTAAAGACTTTTCTAGGCTTTTATTCTTAAGTATTTGCTGTATGTGTTTAGCAAAGAAGTTTACAGAAAAGTGTTCCTAAACAAACACATATAAATTTACTACATTAAAAACCTTTCT